CTAAAGGTGAAGTGTCTGATGTTCGCGGTGAAAATCGTGTCTTTCTTCATAATTGATTCCATTGCCATCTTAAATAACAACTTTTTGAGTTACAAAGATCCAGTCTTTTTATAAGATCCGGTTACAATGAAAATCAAATAAAAATAAACAAAGATTACAACTTTCTCCTTTTGTGTCGAACGAATCACGAGCTCCTGTTTTGCGGTCGCTCTCTTGTGTGGGTTCTTTGCCTGCGCCGGGGTTTATCCGTGGACCACCGCAAGATCTAGATCCGGTCGGATCTACGCAGTACGACGGGTATTATTTCACCAAGGAAATAATAGCCGGGGGGATTGATTCACTAAGGAAACAATCGCCCAAATCTCGGGATCAAAGGCCAAGCTTTGATCCGGAGTACGCCTGCGTAGATCTAAGATCCGGTCCTCTCGAACTCTTGCCTTATTTGGCGTTGACGATCGCCGAGCACCAGATCTGGATGAGCAAGTCCTCGAAGCCCTAAAGTTTGAATCTTTTTTAGATCTGAGTCTTCAATCCAGCAGGGCTTCGCCTCCAAAGAATCCAACCTTTTCAAATGAACCACCCTTGCCCTATTTATAGGCACCCAGATCTGTGCCTAGGCACAGATCTGGGCTGAGGTGGCTCGGCCACAAGTGGCCGGCCACCCCTGGGTGGCTCGGCTCATGCCGAGCCACCCTGAAGTGGCTCGGTTTCGGCCGAGCCCCTCAGGGTGTTTGGGTTCCGTTTCCCCGAACCGTTGGCTTGATTCCGCACGCGAATGGATGTATTCGTTGTGGACTGACGCTCGTGTTTAGCTCGTCGCCTCGTTGGTTCGTCGGTTTATGCCGAACTGTGCTAAGGGACCTATAAGCAATTTTATACGCCTACAGATACCCCCTCCAAAGTATTTCAGTCTCGTTCTTTTATAGAAGAGTCTGGAATACTTTGGATATGATTGTCCCCACCTTCAGTCGGTGTGATGGGACCTTGGAATGACTTCCGTTCTTGATTCCTTCAATTCTCCAGGCTATTCGGTGCTTTGTCGAATGTCTGTAAGAGTTCCGGTGCTGCATTTATTGTCTGACCGTTGTCGGAATTTTAAACTTGAAGTCGATTCCTGATTTTCTAATCTTTAGCTGACCATCGATTGTTGGCGTTGAGTTTTTATTTGCGACGCGTTGTCCGGCGTAGTGTTGTTGAGTTATCCTTAAGAATATTTATAAAAATATTCTCCAAGAACTTCTCAACCAAAAATAGGGAATAGTTTATACTCATATACCTTATTGGAGTATAAAGAAGCAGTTTATACTCGTATACTTTTCGGAGTAAGGATTCTTTCATTGCAACGCATTGATTGGCGTTGACCTAGGGTTACGCGTTGACCGGGGTTGACCCTCGGGTTTTGAATGTCGTATGTTGACTTTTTGATCGCAACGCGTTAACTGGCGTTGACCTAGGGTTACGCGTTGACCGGCGTTGACCTTAGGGTTTTGAACGTCGTTGGATGTTCAAGTCACGAGACCAACTAATGAAGCTGATGCGTCAGCGACTTTCGTATTTAAGGATTTTTGGAAAACCCTCAGCCATCAACGGGTTTGATAAGCCTTTACCAACTACCGTTTGAGTCGGGCTAGCATGCGGATTATCTAAATCCGTTCCGCATGTGACGTTGTGCTAAGAGAGTTAACGCTCTTAGTGCTACGATATTGAATACGTAGACTTCGTCTTTCTCACGGGAATAGACTACCCGTCGACGCGTGTTAGGCGTTGACTCTAGGATTTTTGGCTAACCCCCAGCCTTTACCGGGTTTGATTAGCCTTTACCGACTACCGTTTGAGTCGGGCTAGCATGCGGATTATCTAAATCCGTTCCGCATGTGACGTTGTGCTAAAGGAATGAACTCCCTTAGACTTGATGCTACAACTTCGAATATGTAGACTTCGCCATTGTTATGGGAATAGGCTACCCAGCAACGTGTTTTAGACGCTGACTTATCCCTACTTAAGCTTCAGGATAAAATTCCCCAGAATCGAACTCTGGTGCCTTTTTCTTCGGAGAAAGACTAAACCGGCGATGCGTGTTAGGCGTCGGCATATCCTTTCTTAGGTTTCAGGATGAAATTCCCCATGCGTGTAAGGCATGGATTTTGGTGTTATTAATAACAACCTGCCACAATGTTGAATATGTGAACGGGTGTTCTTTTTAACGGTTAAGAACTAACCGGCGGCGCGGGTTAAGCGCAGACTTATCCTTGCTTAGGTTTCAGGATAGAATACCCCAGAATCGAACTCTGGTGTCTTTTTCTACGGAAAAAGACTAAACCGGCAGCGCGTGTTAGGCGCAGACTTATCCCTGCTTAGGATTCGGGATAAACTTCCTAGGATGAATCCTAAATTGACAAATTTTGGAAAGATCGGTGCGGGAAAGGAAGAATTTTATATTCTATTTCCCGGTCTTCTTTTAGGGTGAAGGCGAACCCAACAGACAAGGAAGGAAGAATTTTATATTCTATTCCCTGATTCTGGAAAGGAAGAATTTTATATTCTATTTCCAGCGAAGAAGAAACTAGAAGTGGGGTGTCCACTCCGAGAATCTGGAAAATTTAGATAAACTTGCCTTTTATAGGATGAGTTATCTAAACTGAAAATGGGTCCTTCGTTTATCGAAGTGGTATTTTCAACTCCGGTTATAACCATGAACAAGGTTTAACCAAAGAGAAAAAGGGAAGGAGTTCTTTCGTTTATCGAAAAGGGACTCCGAACTGAAAGTGGACCTCTTGCTCATGGAGAGAATCAAGAGGACCAGAAAAACATTTTTATGATCGCTCGATCTGTGGACCTCTCGTTCATTGGAGGAATCGAGAGGGGGATTTTGGTTGTGGTCCTAACTGTAGGAAGGTTTGACCAATCGGGAGATTTGAGACGATCCTAACTGTAGGAAGGTTTGATCGCTCTCGTTCATTGGGGGAATCGAGAGGGGGAGAGTGTTGAGTGCACAGACGCGGTGAGAATTTGGATGGGAATTTCTTATTCATTACCTTGCTGTGGTGACCGGATTATCCCTAAGAATACACTATATGGATTTCTTTTGGGAACTTCCCGTTACATGAATCATCCACCCCCAGCTTCCTTTGCAAAACTGGGTATGGTATTATACTCAGTTGGGTGTCCGGGTTATCCTTAAGAATATCAAGCATGGTATTCTCCAGGAACTTCCCGTGAAAGAAAGGAAACAGTTTAGACTCATATACCTGTTGGAGTATGTAAAAAACAGCCTTTTTATAAGACTCTTTTACACAACAAAAAGAAAATTACAACTCTTGAGAAAATAAACGCAGGATCGTTGTTTGGATCACTGCTTTCATGGGATCTTTGCCTGTGCCGGGAGCGCTTTGACTCGTGGACCACCAAATCACAGATTCTGATTGAACCGTGAGGGGTTTATGATTCTGACTTCGTTTATCGAAGTGAGAAATTGAAACGATATCTTATCGATGTAAGATAGTCGTTCTTCTTGAAATCAAGTCAAAGCCTGATTATCAAGGATTGGCCGTAAGATCAGCACCAAAGCCTGAATATCAAGGAGTTGCTGAAGCTCGAGTACTCTGCCCTCTCTCTGCTCTGAATTGCTCTGAAGTGCTCAAAATGATCAGCTTTGGATCTCTGCTGGAAGCCCTCTGTGAAAATGGCCTTCGGGGGGTATTTATAACCCTCTGGATGAACAGTGCTCGCGAGACAGCATTTGCTGTCTCGGCGGGCGAGACAGTGTTTGCTGTCTCGCCCAGCGAGACAGTAAATTTGCTGTCTCGCCCAGCGAGACAGTAAATACTGTCTCGGAAAATGCAGTTTCTCATTGTAACCGCTCTCCCACGTTTTAAACTCCGTTATTCTGGCAGTTATCAACGTGATTCTCGCCCACGACGTTTCCCACGTTCTTGAACAGTTAGTGGCCACGTGTAGGGCAGATGCAAAGGTAGTTTTGACCATCTGAAAGCTGTCTCACGTGCGAGACAGTAAATTCTGTCTCGCACGGCGAGACAGCCTCCAAACAGTAAAACACTGTCTGGCGCCCGAGACAGCAAACACTTGTTTCTTATGTTCTTTTGATCTTTGGATGATCTCCTTTTAAGCTGTATTTGGATATCCATTAGCATTTTTTGACGTCTACAGATACCCCCTCCAAAGTATTCCAGACTCATTCTTTTATAGAGGAGTCTGGGATATTTTGGATAAGATAGATCTTATTGTATTTGGATATCTTTCAGCATTTTTTGACGCCTACAGATACCCCCTCCAAAGTATTCCAGACTCAATCTTTTATAGAGGAGTTCTGGGATGCTTTGGATAAGATAGATCTTACTTACGATCCTTTCAATGCTTGGTTGAGTAGATCGTGTAGAGGAACCCGTAGGTGGCTTCAACCTTTGATCTCTTTGTCTCTCAATCTATTCAGTGCTTTGTAGAATAGTTAAGATTCTTCCGGCATCGCGTTTATCGCTTGTCCATTGTAGAGATCTTGAATTAAAGCTGGAACTTGTACTACTTTAGAGCCCACTTTTCTCGAAAACAGTGGCACCAAATCAGAATCATTTGGCTATCTCCATTACCTTTGTCAAAAGCATGTGGAAAGTAATGTTATGAGAATCTAATATATGCCCAATAACATCTGAAGGGTATGAAAGGTTTTAGCTCAAACTGGAGATGATGACAGCAAGTAGTTTCATAAACATCAATATCAAATCCTACACAGAAATCCTTATCTCTTGCGCAAACTGGAACTTAGGACATGTAAATGGCAGTAGGAGTTCCACCAATGAGAATTGCTTTTATCACCAAACGTATCAAGAAGAGAAAAATCACTCTAGTGAGTTATTGCACTCTAATAAAAATGTGAAAGTCTAGTGCATGCGTGAGTCATGCATTACTTCTTGTTGAGTCATGCATAACTTCTCGTCTAGTCATGCCTTTGTGCACCTGGTGTATATATTTGGGTACCTTTGCTGTTGTGCATTACGAGAGAGTAAAACTTCTACTTTACTTCCAGCTTGAAGTTTGAGAAGCATAAGAATGGCCCTTCAGTGGTTCCTTCAGGCGATTGGCACCAAGATGGTCAATTGCCCAAAAAGCGGTGAAGTTGAAAAATGGTTTCCATCAAAGTTATCGAAGGATATGAGGATTGTGAATCTTAGAGAGGCTGAAGGTACAAGTCATAGTAACCACAATGAGATTTATTGTTCAAGTGGTAGGGTGAATGGAGGTGGTACGTGGTGCGCTGGGTTTCAGATGCCACTGCATTACCCTCGATACAGGAAGGAGGATTATCAAAGGATGGAGGAGAGGAAAGTGGATATATTGCTCAGAGAGTATGGACTGGCATGTGTTGGCTCTCTTGAGGAGAAGAGGGCTTATGCTATGGGGGCATTTTTGTGGCCTGAACAAATTTAGGGGGAATGGAATTTCCCATTTAGCCTTTAGCTTTGTTTGTAGTTACGCATGCATTCAGGGTTAGTTTCTAATTAATAGTTAGCAGCGGGTGTATCAATCTTGGATCTCATCCATGTCATCTATACTCAATTTACTAGTTATCTAATGATTGAAGTTTTTCAAAAACATGTGTGCACTGTTGGCGCTCCTTTTTCAAAACTTGGACCTAGATTATCGTTTACCCCTTGGTTCATCTGGTCCTGCTCACATATGCATGCGCTGTATTCTATGTTAAATTGTTCATTGCAGAAGATTTTGTCGCTCCTAGCATCTTATTTACTGTTAGTCTGGATTTTGGTCTGGTTGAACATGGAACCTAATAAAGTGTAAGATTAGGGAATCAGGGATGGGGTTGAAGGCCTTTCTCCTAGGATAGGATGGTCCGCACGTTTTATGTCTGTATCTCTAAGTACATGTTTAGTTTTTGTTTATTAAGCTTTTGAGTTTTTGAGATTTATTACGTGCTATTAGCTTTATATGCGCTCATCCATTTTTGCGAGGTTGAAGTAACCATTAAGGAATATGGAGTCAAAAACCACTAGATTCTTCTTGCAAATGGCATATCTATCCTTAAATTCACGGGAGACCTGTGTCCCAAGTTAGTATCTAGCTTAGCTGATATTCTTCTCATCATTGTTATGCTGGTTGGAGATGGGAGGGTCAATCAAGGGCCAGCTAGCTTTGTTTATATTCTACGGGAAGTTAAATACCAGCATATTAGTTGCATCGGTAGCGTTATTGGGTGTCTTGGCGTTAGGATTTTATTTTGTCATGTAATAGAATAATTGGTTTATTCCTTTGGTAAAGTTGGGGGTTATGTTGATATATTTATGCTTCCAAGTATCTATTTATACAATTTAATTCGCAAGTGGTTGCTCGAAGAGTTAGATGAATAAAACTTCATAGGAACATTAGTTATAGCTAAAAATTGATGTTACATCTCCAACTTTCTCATGAGTGGATATCTTATTATTCTTCCTGTAAATAATAGTTCTTGCTCCTTTTGTTTTCCTGACCTGTGACTGTTTGTTCTTTAAACATTGCAGTCGGTTCATGATAAAATTGTTTATAATTGCTTGGTAGTAGATAGTTTCTATAGCTTGTATTGATCTAAATCTAGCTTCAAACTTCAACAGTGGGCTTGTACACAAGGTGTTTTGTTTGATGAAGTTTGAAACATAGTTAATGAACCATGCACCAAGCGTCTGCTTTATAATAAAATTTGAGTTGAATAAGTTGAATTTTTCACCAGTTTAGTGAAGATTATAGAGCCTCGTGTCGAGAAGGCCTTATTTAGTAATACGGTGAAGTTTATGTGTTTTGAAGGCAGAAGTCAGATGAATTTGGACTTACATCTAGCTCCCCAATTATAAGACACTATTGCTCCACAGCTTGATTTGATGAATTAGTTGTTCAGCTTGATTCAAATTGGGCTGTATGCAACTCATATTGCAGTAAATAGCATCCAAGCTTAGTCGTTCATTTTAATATGTCTGGCGCTGCTTGCTTCTCCAACTGCGCTTATTTTCGTGTTGTTTGCTGAAACAGGAGCCATCAGCTGATCATAGCTTCAAGCCTTATGATGTCGATACAAAGACACGAATGCTGGTATGTCAGTCATTAGCCTCTCTCATGCAATACAGTGACGCTATATTTTTAAAAATGTTCAACCAAGTAGTTGTTTTATCATTTTCTGTATGGTAGGAGTTAATCGTTGCTTAACTGAGAGAACGGTGAGCTTCAGTATGCTATAGTTTTCAACTCTATCAATTCAAACAGACTACTAATTGCACAAGAAAAGTGTACACTTCAACGATTCTGCATTATCAAAGCAAATAGTCCTCCAGCAAGTGTACACTATCAACCTCATCGAGGGTCAACCTTATGCAATTGTATTATTAGTTACAAAGTATAGACTTACAGAGTGATGCACCTACCGTTGCTATTGCTATTACTTTTTCTCTTTTGGAGTGAATAAAATCCTTTTAAAAGAAAACAATAGCTGGAAGAATGAGAACGGAACCCCCTGAGGAAACGGAGAGTGGCCTTATGGAAGAGGAGCTCAATGGACTAACCTGCATAACTAGTACAGAGCAAACACAGGATGACAACGAGCGAACTTGACACAAAACCTGAGTAGAGTTAAACAAGTAACGCATGCGATATCACAACAATCATAACTGAGCAGAGATTCTCATACGGTAGTAGGACTTAGAGAATTCAGTATTCCATCAATTGTGTTAAGGAGTAGGGACCCAAAATATGTAGCTATGCAACAAACAAACAAACAAACAAAAGCATGTTCTGGCTTCAATTTTCGTCCCATCTTTTGCTTTTATCTGATATCAAATGAGGGAATGGGGAGCCTTACATGTCTCATTTTGGACCATCCTTCACCAAACCCACCCAATCTGAGACTTGGAAATGCGTTTGAAGTTCTATTTCAATTCGTTGATGTCATTATCAACGAATCGAAATAGATTGAAGGCACCTCCTCCCTCCGCGTGTCCGTAACTGAGCGTTGTTTGCTCAGCGGACCTTGGAGAATCATGACGCTTTGTTTGTCTTTTATTTTGTTTTGGTTTGGGTCATGAAGCCCATCGATGGCCATGGAATCTTTTAGGGCCCATTCGTTTGGGGCCATATCTGTTCTCGTACAAAATGGCAGGGTGCCAGGGACATTGATGCATGGCGCACGAATGACTCTCAGGGGCTGTTTGTTTGCCTAAAAAAAGAGGGAAATCAAAGAAATAGAAAACCATTTCTAAGAAAAGTTGTTTTGGGAATGTTTGGTTGGCTTTAAAAAAAGAAGAAAATCAAAGAAATGGAGATGGGATGATGTTAGTTGTCACCTTATTATAGGATGATGTGAGTGATTTTTTAAGAAAATTTGTTTTGATGTTGTTTGGTTGGCGAAAAAAATAAGGAAATGAATTATAAGAAACATATTTCTTATAATAGGTTTTTTTTTTTGTTTGGTTCATTCTTAAAAATAAGAAAATAAATGAGATGAGATGAGTTGTCATTATATTATTAGATGATGTGACCCACACATAAGAAAATAGTTTTCCTAGCTTTTTGGGAGGAAATTGGTGGAAATAAAATGTTAATGAGATGAGATGAGTTGTCACCATCTTATTGGATGATGTGAGTGACTTGAAATGATGAGATGAGATGAGTTGTCACCATCTTATTGGATGATGTGAGTGACTTGAAATGATGAGATGAGATGAGTTGTCACCATCTTATTGGATGATGTGAGTGACTTGAAATGATGAGATGAGATGAGTTGTCACCATCTTATTGGATGATGTGAGTGACTTGAAATGATGAGATGAGATGAGTTGTCACCATCTTATTGGATGATGTGAGTGACTTGAAATGATGAGATGAGATGAGTTGAGTGATGTTGTGGATGAAAATAATATTTTATTAGATGTGGTGGATGAGTTGTTGGATGAAAATAATATTTTATTAGATGTGGTGGATACATTGTTGGATGAAAATATATTTTATTAGATGTTGTGGATGAGTTGTTGGATGAAAATAATATTTTATTGGATGTTGGGGGTGAATTTTAGGGATGGAAATGAATGAAATTGTTCTTTTTGAGATCAACCAAACAGACCCTTAAAAAAGAATTGTTCTAAAAGGAAAATATTGCATCAGAAAATGGATTCGTACATGGAGTAGAATAGTGACTTGTACGGGAGCTAGTGTGTTCCCTTCGTGGTTTGATTGGCGACACAGTTACTAATTTGTACGATAACTACGCGGTAAGTTCAATGAGATGGGATTTGAATTTTGAATAGAGACGACTCTTGTACAACACGATCATTTTTCGTCGCGTCGTTCATAAAGTTTTAAGTTGATGGACACATTTGTCCAATCTTTTGCTACACAATCTTTCGTCACGCGAGGGATGTTCACGAGTCATGGATTTGGAGGATGTTTTATTTGTAACTCGAAATTCTGAATTGATTCAGATTGTGAGGTCTGAATTTTATTTATTATTTATTTTTATTTTTATTTTTTTGTAAAAACCAAGACCATCCTCATTATATTCAAACCCAGTAGAGTTTGATTGGATCCCACTAATGTATTAGATTCTAGTTTCATGTGTCTAATGCGCATTGACCGAACACTATTCTTTGATCAACGTCCCCACATCCTCGATACAATCATTTCAGTCATTCGATATTTATGCGAATAAAGGGGACCAGGCTACCTAATTGCCTACCCTTTCTCTACCATCGTTTAGACCGAAATGTATAAAGTATCAGAGACATCAATTCACTTGTTTATTTGCTATTCCTTGGTAATGATTTGAGAGCTTGTTGATCTTAAGGTATTCGAATGTAGATGGTCCCAAGCACCAGAATAAGCTAGGTAGGGGCAAGCAATAATTTTGTAAGTGGGCCTTCACTTTATGCAATTGGTAGCAGCTCCAAATGAGCTTTGTCTAGAAGTGATGAGCTATTTTCTCCATTTCTGCAATAGATTAACTTGAATTGTTTACCTTTTTCTTTCTGTAAATAATTAATTTGAAGAAAGATGTTTGTAGAAAAGGACAAAAGATCACAAGCGAGGAGGGACAACCGTCATGATGAAGAGGAAGAAGCTTCCATGAGGTACGTGGCTTCTGGTAACATTATGAATGAATTCTAATGACTGCATAATGGCACATTACAGTTTCAAAACCCTTCACTAATATATATATAAGAAGCTCAAGTCCACAATTTGCTATAAAATCAGTGGCATACAACTTCAGCTGAAATTGCCATATTTGTAATTTTTTTCCCCCTTGCTATTGTCAATAAGATTTGGTTTGGTAGGAGCCTAGGAGGGGAAGCAGAGTGAGGTGTTAGAATTTCTGAGGGTTTCAAGATAAAGAGATTAGGTGGTGTGAGGGGAGGGAAAATGTACATAACTCCCTGTTTGGATGGAGGGTAGAGAAGGTAAGTGGAAGGGAAATTTTGGTTTACATTTGTTTGGGAGTTCAATTTAGAAGGATAGAGAAAAAAAATGAGTGGAAAATTAAACTAAAATCTTGCCCTCCAAATCGGGGGATAAAAGAAGGGAAAGCGAAGGAAGGGATAAAAGTCTGCATACTCTCTCTCTGGCAC